GGCTCAATCTCTGAATAACCTCTTTTCTTTTTTCCTCATCAGTACAACAATCTTCAGTACAGTCTCATGCAATTTATTTATCGAACAACTTCAAGACTTCCAGTCGCAACAACTATCAAACGAATTCTCAAACCACAAACAACCACACGCAAAATGTCTTTCTTCCCACGACACTACATCACCAACGAGGCTTCCTCCTTCCATCCTCTCTTCCGTCTTCTCGACGACTTCGACCAATACAGCAGTGGCCGCAATGACACCAACTCTCGTCACCACCGCAGCAATGTCATGAAGACCTTCACCCCCAAATTCGATGTCAAGGAAGCCGGTGAAGTCTATGAACTCCACGGCGAACTTCCAGGTATCGAGCAGAGAGATGTCGAAATCGAATTCGTCGATGACCAAACCCTCACCATCCGTGGTCGTACTGAGCGCTCTTACACTTCCGGTACTCCACCAACTGGTTTCGTCGAAGATGCACCCAAGTCTGGCGCCATCACTGAAGGTGGTGAAACCGAACACAAAGACAAAGTTCACCAACCAACCGTTGAAGATGAAGATGCAGCAACTCCAGCCAGCACTGACGCCAACACCCAAATGACCAAGGCCAGCGAGGAGAGAAAGGCCAAGGAACCTGATCACAAATTCTGGGTTTCTGAGCGTAGCATCGGTGAATTCTCCCGATCTTTTAGCTTCCCAGTTCGCGTCAATCAAGATGCAGTTCAGGCCAGCATGAAGAACGGTATTCTTAGCATCATTGTTCCAAAGGCTAAGAAGCAAGAAGGCCGCAAGATCACCATTCAGTAAATCAATCACTTCGATTTATCTGATCACTTCTACGATATTACGAATGCATTAATGGATGGAAGGAGGCAAGGAGTATTCTGGCAGTGGCATTTTCTTAGCGATGGATTAATTATGGTGGTTTAAGGGAGGAAAGGGGAAGGAACTGGAGGTGATAATGGGAGATTTGTTTGCAGGAGGAAATTCATGGTACTTTGCTACGAATTTGACTTGCTCTTTATTTTGCTTTGTTTACTAGCACTAATCCCATGTACTTACATAAAACACAATTAAAAAGAGCACTTGACATCAAAATATATTGTCTATCCATATCACAGGGTTGTGAAATTTGAGTGTGAAATTTGAGTGTGACTTTGAGAGTGAATACCTTACCTTACTTGAGTGTATCTCCTTTTAATGCTACCTAAAATGCCAATGAAGAACAGTACCAGATTTGCAAGCCAACCTCAAAGCTTTCATTCTACTACGAATCTGTTTGGGCTTTGTTTTTGACCCAACTTGGGTTCAAAAGATAGAGCTAAGATTTATTTGATGTAATATTTGCCACTGGGAGATCCTGTTAAAAGCTTGGGCGAAATGAATTAATTATAGGTGATGTGTAACAAACCATTCCATTATTTTTATTTTTATTTTTATTCATACATGAAAGCTCCCGTTTTCTATCTGGTCAATTATAGACTTACAGCCAGCCAGACATTGAGTGATATTAACACTTGAGAACCCTGGATCTACACTCTGATCACCATATGCCCATTCGTTTCAGATGATTTCAGTGCTTACCTCCCCCTTCAAGACATATCCACTGAATCCACTGAATCCACACTCCTTCATCTTGACAATGAGACATCTGATAGGATAAGTAGGATAAGCGATCCCAAACTTCCGTCACTTGCACAGTGCATATCTAAGACCTGACGCGAAAGCTTCATTTTAACCTCCATCCTGATAAACAAGATCAACGCAATCCATGACATGATTTGATGTCAATCGCTCAAAATGACAAATATAGGTTCGACCTTGAAACTTCAGGATGAAATATTCATCTTGTAGATATTGCATCTGGTCCGTTCGTGGGATTGTAATCGTAGCGGTCAAGGACTATTCAAATGATGGAATTGAGGATACCTAGATATACCTAGATATACCTAGATTTTTCATGTAGAAATAAATTGACAGGCGAGGGCCAAACCGCCAAACAATTAATAAAATTCCATGAAAGCCCTAATGAGATGTCGATCTCCAGAGCCTCGAACATGAAGGATTAGTATCATTGGTTATTTACCTATAGATTGGATCTCGACGATACCTTACTACTCCTAGAAATCCTACGGTATCTAAATGATCCTTCCGCAGAACGTAACATTCCAGACGTCTAGGAGATTGCTTGGCTGGGGCAGAAACAACGTTCGCTTCCACAGTGCCATGCCGTGCCCAGACATGTTATCGCGATTGTCATGAACATATCGGTGAAGTAAGGACCATGAATCCATGATCCAGGAACCATTTAAGAAACAATATGGGGTTTAATCTTAGCTACTGCAGGGGCCCGCATGGAATACCACTAATATCCCTGTAAGATCCCGTCCACCCGCCAATTGTGCTTTGTCTAGATTTCTGGAATATCAATATTCGAACATTTTAGAATTCGCTTTTCGTCACGATCGTTCGTGGCCTTATGAGTTTTCTTCATGCTGTGCAACGAATTCGTATGATGAGCGATGGACCGTGACTAGTAAATCTATTAACAGTTACTTTTTTATTGACTATTTCCTTAGCAGCACAGCGGCATCTATGTATACCTAACCTAGGTAGATATATTAGTTGTTCATCTTTCAGCCAATCCAAGCTACATATGACGTTTTTCCAATTTCTCACATCGCTGTCTAATATTCACCAATGATACATTCTATTTGGCTTCATCAATTTCATGATTCTAATGAGAATCTTGAATACAAACAAAGAGATTCCCTGTATGCTCCAACCTTGAAAGTTGACAGGCCTAAGTGGAGCTTCGATTCTTCGACGATTAGATGAATTTAGATTTTCTATGCGGACATCCTACCAAAACATGTAAACCATACAATTTTCTACCGTAAGCGCTGTATCCATGCCATCACACCAGTGTGTTACAATCATACCACAGACGATATCGACCCTAAAAGGTTTAACCCATCGCGAAGTACAAAGAAAGTTCAAAGTAGCAATCGATTAGTTAGTTGAAAGGGAATCAAGATTCGACAACATGGGCCCGTGGAGGCGTACGACAGGAACAAGTGGGAGATTTGCCATGGAACCGTGATAGATTGCAGCCCCAATCACGTCAACGAATCGCCTCATTCCCGTGAATGCTTCCCAATTCCTCATTCAAATTGTGGAAGAAATAAAGATTGGAGACGGTAGAACTTGTCAATCTCCGCTTAGTGGGTCGGGGAGATTCACTTTGTGGGTCGACAGGGAATTTGTTATCAACGGGGGGAATAATCCGGGATATCACATCTGACGGTCTTTATACCTGACAATTAGACGCGTGTATATATGACGCTGCCGGTCGTCTTCAGTTCGCCTTTTTTTTCTGTATCCATCGATCAATTACACTCATTTACAATATAGTAATCACACACTCATTTACAAAAACAATCAACCTCTTCAAAATCCAAACACTTCTTCCAAATCAAAAAACTTCAATCTATCAAAATGCAGTTCAACATCCTCGCCCTTACCGTTGCCGCCATGGCCTCCGTCGCAGTTGCCACTGAGTAAGTTCTTTCGACTTCGAAAATTTAGATCGAACTTCAATACTAACTATCCATAGGACTGTCACCGTCTACGCTTGCCCAAGCTCCACTGGTCTCTCTGGCTCTACTGCCACTGCTGGTGCTTCCTCTGCATCCTCCGCTGGAGAATCTTCCGGCATCACCACTGGATCTTCCTCCGGTGAATCTTCCGGCCTCACCTCCGGCTCCAACCCATCTGGTGTTGCTGCCGCTAGCGGTGTTGCTGCCCCAACTGCCTCCTCCGGTGTCGTTTCTTCCCCATCTGGAACCAGCTCCCCAATTGCTTACGCTACTGGTGCTGCTGGCCACATCCAAGTTTCCGCTTTCGGAATGGTTGTTGCTGGTGCCGTTGCTCTTGTATGTCTTCCATCCACAATTTCTCATCTTTATCTCAAAACTAACTCATAAACTAGCTCATCTAAATTTCTTAATCGAGCCTAACGACATACCCTTTTCTTTCTTGACCCAGCGACGAGATACTCCGAAATGTAATCTACACTTGTGACGCAAGTTGGATGGCTGATTTGGTCAATTACGGAGCTGCTGGATTTTTGGGGGGATGTGGATGATGCTTTGACATCGACTTCTCTCTTGTACATATGATACTTCATTGCAAGCATATTAAATCAACAAGACTGTGTCAATTTTCTGAGCTGTGAATACTACAAATTAATAATAAAATCTTCCGATTCAATATGAACTTCATTTGATGTGTTTTTGATTTCACTGATTGCAGTCCCATAGTTGAGGTGATTTTTCTTCAAACCAGCTTGGCGTCTAGGGATCTTCAAAGTCCCGGCGATCATCCACAATTTTCCTGCATATCCGTTTCAAATATACACAGCGGTGCTCTACTTGGAGCTCTCTGAAATCAAAACATGATAGGCTGAAGTAACCCACAACTTTCATACGGGCACTATGTACCTTCTCACATCATAACCTCGACCAGACACATCCGCAACATCCCACATTCCAAACAGATAACAGCAATTAATACAGATATGCCAAAGGATTTACACTAAATCGAAGACAATGGATGCGGGAGTACTATTCTCCATGAATTTTTATAGCTACGTGAGATGGTTAATAAGTATCTGTATATATTTGCCTTACCTAGATAGTCTTCAGTCCATTGAAGTTAATTGCTGTACCTTAAAGACCATTACGGTTCTCCTCCACTGCAACCATTATCTCATCTCTTGAGGTCTATAGATTCCCATCCCATCAAGCAAATCATAAGTAGTGAGGTCTTCTGATTATTCACCATTCCCGCTGTCCAATCTGCTATCCACGTAACATAGTTTGTAGCTCCATGTCGTGGAAACAAAACATGAACCTATTGCTTTCTCTGCTATCATCTACCTTTACGATGCCATCAGTCATGAATCAGTAAGTTCGTAGTAAATTTTTGTATTCAATTGACCTAGAAAACATTTATCGACGTGTACCATATCTCCGGTATGTAGATATATATGAAAAGACAGGAAGATAGTAAGAATAGGGGAGGAAACGAAGTTGGCAAATTTCCCTGCACGGTCATCACGACTAGACCCCAGCCCAAAAGCCCCTAGCGAGCCTCGCCCAAAATTCCCATCTCCAAAGCTAAGCTTCCTCATGCACATGTAAATAAATCGCAGCAAAACATCTCCATCCTTTCTCACCATACCACATAGCACACCACCAAAATGGCACAACCACTACCCCGATTCTCGCGTCGATTTCTGCACCAATCTTCGTCCTTCCAGTCGCTCCCACGCACACGCAGTTTCCGTCCTCAGTTCCATGCGAATGCTAAATCTGTTAGAGGTTACTCAACAGGAGGTCCTAGTAAAAGTCCTTTGAAGATCTGGCCTTTTGTTGCGATTACATTGGTGGGAAGTGGTGCTTATGCGTTGATGGTTAGGAGTAGAGCTGGCACGGGTATGTTATGTATTCTCCTTGCTATTGGTTATAGATGATTGGGATGAATGCGATTGGAAGATTGGATGGGACAACACATGGGATTGATGCTCTTGATTGAATGGATTTGAGGGCCGCTTTAAGTCTCGTTGATAGGCTCATGGTCATACTCAAAAACAACTTCATCTCATTGCATTCGCTCATTGTCCATCCATCTATCCACCCATCTGCCAGAATTCCCTTTTCCCTTACCCACCACTTCCCACACCATTTTCAGCATAAACTCATCTTTAACATCGTAAACCACCAGACATGGCCCCTCCAACCCCCCAACTCCCCTCTCCCCCGAAACCAACCCCAACCTTCTCTCCCGACAAAGTAACCATCCTCTTCGTTCTCGGCGGTCCAGGAGCCGGAAAGGGTACTCAATGCGCCAACCTCGTCCGAGACTACAACTTTACCCATCTCTCCGCCGGAGATCTATTACGGGCCGAGCAAGAGCGTCCCGGCTCTGAATTTGGAGAAATGATTAAAGATTACATCAAGAACGGTCTTATAGTCCCCATGGAAGTGACTGTTCAACTACTCGAAAACGCCATGACGGAAGTCATTTCCAAATCCCCCACTGGAACTGGGAAGTTTTTGATCGATGGGTTCCCACGCAAGTTGGATCAGGCGCACAAATTCGAAGATACAGTTTGTAAAGGAAGATATGTGTTGTTCTACGATTGCCCCGAGGCGGAAATGCAAAGGAGATTGATGGAGAGGGGCAAGACTAGTGGTAGAACAGATGATAATGCTGAGAGTATTCAGAAGCGATTCAAAGTTTTCATAGAGACAAGTATGCCGGTTGTGGATTATTTTGATAAGCAGGGCAGAGTCATCAAACTCAATGCTACAAAGACCCCAGAGGGAGTTTATGAGGAGACCAGGAAGAAGTTAGAGGAGAAGTTAGGAAAGACATTTTGAGAAGGGTCGAGGACACACAAGTTTTGGGAGCGGGGGGGGGGGGTATGGAAATGGGTTTAGGTAGATTGCATAGGAGGAAGTTTGATAGATATATGGGGGCAGGCAGGGAGGGAATAATCCGGAATATAGATCAGGGAAGTAAAAAATACCTCATACAGAGGATGAAAAGAGACATACAGCAACAAATAACAAAACATAATACGAATCTGGGATTGACATCCTTCATTCTCATTAAAATCTCATACTTGTAGAAATCATAGACATCAGGCATGTTCAAATTCGATATGTAGATTTCTATTCTTAATCTTCTTTTCACTCCACTCCCTTTTCATGGCTTCATTTCGTGGCTTCATCGTGAACATGAAAATAATGGATGTTCTCCTACACCATTACCAGATGCTAATGCAAACCATTGCCTTGCCACTGTACAAACATCTAAGAACGCCGACGAAACGAGGAACCTTTTTTTTGAGACCAATCCATGAATTAATAACAACTTTCATGAGTTGATGTCCTAATCAGTACCCATCTCTACCATGTTATCACTTCTTCGTCCAGCTCTCATCCCCTGTGTACCAGAAACCTTCTTATCAGCCTCTTGGATTTCTTTCTCCTTTTGAGTTTCAGCAGCTTGTCTCTCCCTGCTAATAACCTCCTTTACACCTCTCAAGCTCTCCTTCCATTGATCCAACCTCGTGGCAACCTCACGCCATTGCTTCTCTCCAAATACACGATATGTGGTTCTGTGAATAAGGAAAACTTGCTTCTGTTGCGATAGTTTGCCCTCAACCAAACCAGCTCTGATAACATCGATAACCCACATCTCAACATCTTCAGGTGCGATTTGCAACGCTTTGGAAATGCGCTTGTATTCGAGTTCGCGGGTATGGGTCGAGGCAGCCAAGCTAGCCAAGGTCAGGAGTCGCATCTTACGGTGCAACTTGCTGTTGTCCAAGTTCTCTTTCTCGACGAAACCATCGTGCTCGTCTTGGAAATCGTTGTAGTCCTCAAGTTCCTTCTCGGCGAAGATTTCGAGGAGTTCAGAGTAGATTGCGTGGGAATCGCTCAAGGCTTGAACGGCGGGAAGGGAAGTAAGATCGTGGAAATCGAAATGGGTGTTGGAGAGAATGGCAGTTCTTAATGCTTTAATAGCGAGCTTTTGAGCCGGTTCGGAAGCAATAGCTTTCTCGTCCTTGCCGTCGAAAGTTCGGAGAGCTTTAAGAATATATTGGTATGATTCCCTAAACGTAGTAAGATTAGTAAAATATACTCGAGTCACTAAGATTGACTTTAAACGTACTCCTCCTCGCCGGAATCATCTGCCACTTCTGAGATCATTTCGAAAAGTTTTCTTTGCTCCTCTTCCTCAATCTGCCATTCAACAATCCAGGTGTCCAATTTCTTCAACTGTGGTCGCAACATTTCGTAGTTTCCACTGTTCTTAATGAGCTTAAGAACAGCTTGGAAGACATTAAATCTGGTCTCATTATCTGGTTGTAAAAGGTTGAAGATGGTGGTCAGAACATTCAGCGCGAGGCCTGGTCCATTCAAAGGTGATGAAGTAATTGGTTTTGCGAGGTTGTCGCAAATTCTAGGCAGATACATGTTGACATTTGGAGATTGGTTGCAGAGATAGACCAATAAGTTGTATGCGGCAGTAAATTCTTTCTCTGGGGATGAGTTCAACTTTTCCGAAGCAGTGACGAGTTTCTTTAAAGCTTCATCCTTTTGTTTTGCTGCGAGGAGGGGTTGAACTTCTGGGCCGATTTCAAGGTATTCAGCCAGCTCTTGTGCCAAATCCTCGAAGGTGCCATCGATGAATACTTGCTGCGTCGCGGGCGCCATATTTGCAGAAATGATCGAAATGTGGTTGAGGCGGGAAGGTTGGGGTCTTCGATGGGGTAAAAATTACGATTCTTGAAGTTGTCGGTATCAAAATGTTCTCTTCTCTTGTGGGATGCGCTAACCGAGGGGCTAGTACGGCTATATTTTTACGACGCATATCGGTATCAGTACGAACGAATGTCAATGAATACTTGAAAGAGACACAGAATGCACAATCTTGAGGTTATACATGATCAAGAAAGGTGTAAAAAGTGAGTTGTTATAATTTTGATGTGCATACCTATTATTTGCTGCCATGTTCATTTTCATTCCGTAGCCTAGTGGCGAGGATGTGAGCGAAATTCTAAGAAGGTGTTTGAAATACCCAAAATCATTAACCAATCTCGAAAATTATAACGAAAGGATCTGAAATGTTCTTCGTTAACTAAGATACAGTTTTCAATATTGAGGGAATCGTAATTCCTGAGAAGAATCGTCCATAAGTTCAAAGTTCAAAGCTCAAAGCTCAAAGCCAATTCGAAAATTACAGAGAACCCAAGTGGGCTTCATCAATGGCTTCCGGTGAGCTTTGTTTCTGGTGATCCTTGGGGAATCTTATTGTGTGAGACAGCTTTCAAATGGACTTTCACGTTATTGCTTCTTCCCAATGAAGACAGCATTCCCAGCTCGTTCTGCTTTCGTATTCGTAAACTTGTGTTAAATTGTACAGCACGCGCGTGTTTTTATGCTTCATTTTTGCGAAATTGAGCATACCGAATTTACAGCAGAGATTCTCAAGTAATTCGTCTAGATCTATAAACGAGTATTGAACCTTTTTCTTTCCAACTCTGCTATACCTTACACGCCTAATATGCTACTCGCTCTGACAGTGGTGTCGGAGCTTCTTGGTGCCATCGTAAAAACCATTAACGAATACCTATGTTATACTCACTGCCTTCACAAATCTTACGAAACTGAAAACTGAGTGTATCGCCGATTATGTCTTCTTTCTAATCGATATGGAACCTCAATATCATGCCCACACTATTGTGCTCATCGACGCGTGTATACCCCGGTCTCTTCGAATATTCTACTCAGAAAATTAGACTATCGACACTCCATGCTGGGGGGTAAATGTGCTAACTGCAAATATTCTTTAGGGAGTGGTCGAACTTTGAACTATCCGTTTAACTCCTTTCGTGTACTTCTTTGCAGATATTAGTGACCCTTATTGCTATTCCCAAATGTTTCTTTACAATATTTTACGGAGAAGTGAGATATTGGGTGCGTGGAGGACCCGTCCCTAATCATTCCTTATTGTACATACCCAATGATAGAATCAGGTGAGTACAAGGATATTTATACAAAGTGGGCTGTAAGCTAGTTAACAGGAACAGGAGAGAAGTAATTAAAATGTCTATATGTCACCCAGGTCCCCCATGAGCATCAAAAACGCTTTTCTCTCTTTCTGGAACTTCATTTGAAACTAGCCACTACTTATTTGTATTCACTCTCTTCTGTTAGAGATGTCTTTCTTGCTCAATAGTTCATTTCAATGATTCCGAGTGGTATCAACCCTCATCAAGCGTTGACCGCGGAATGGTTTCATTTGGAAATGTGTAATAAGGGTCTATTGAGGTTTCTCAATTTCAATATTATCGTTTAGGGAGGGCTTGTGTCAGGTAGCTAGAAGTGGGTTTTATGATTAGCTTTCGCTGCAAGGCGTATTTAGAGTTATCTCCAAATAGTATCTCGAACATGTATTTTGTGATGATTTATCTCCAAATGAACAACAAAGAGTTATTAAAGTAAGTAATATTGTGATTCTAACAGAAATTTTCAACTGCAAAATGCTCAATGATGTTATTGCGAAGGAGGAAATTTATAAGCTAACAACAATCGCTACACCTTTTCTCTCGTCACCAATGTAACGCGTGTTACACTCTATAGCCAATCGAAATTATTATGCGCGCTTATGCGGCTCTTTTATGCGCTGCTTCAGCATCACACAACCCCGAAGTTGAATAATCTTTGCGAGGACTTTGCATTGGAACCATGTACACACTAAGCTTCACAACTACCCGTCGACAGATAGTAAATAGAGCGAAGCTCCTTTAATGGACCGAATCATCGCTGACATTTCATAGGATAGCGTTGCTTACTGCGCCATGTATCGTGTTGTTAGAGAAATCTATCTTGCTGCTCTGTTGACCATGGTTAGTGTCGAGACCCTCGCATCAGGTGTAAGTAAGACTAGAGGAACAAGTCCGCATCGTATGCCCATCTCTCCCGCGGTAGGAATTAGGTACTTCGACGGAAACTTAAGGTGTTCAGGATATTCGTATAGACATCAAATTTGATGGCAATATTATATTGGGTACAAGAATACGGCTTCAAGATCCGTGCTCTCCCGAGGGCCAAGAGCATGTTTCCCTAGGTGAGATTACTACGCTACATATCTCACCCAACCCGAAGTGACCTCGCCAAAAGACCCTGTTGTTAGCCAAAGATTCGACTGTTCTCCCCGTAAACTTATGGAGGTCATGCGAAAATGTATATTTGGCTAGAGCTCGGTCAGTCCTGGTTAGCCATCCAAGATCTTGCAATAATTTGCAGATATATCTGGAGCCCGTGAAATAACCTCTGCCTACAACAAGCTCGCTGGTTCCCTTCAATAACCCTTGATAATATTGCTGCGAGTGTCAGCTGCTTTAAACTGAATGCTTCGCATTCTCTGAGACCATGGAATTCAATTTCAGGTTGCCGCGTATGATTGACTTGTAAGACGATTACAATGACGAAATTGATCACCAACGTACGGATTAATCAGAATTTGCTTAAGCCTTCGAGGACCATGGCCTATAGGAACCTGATAAGATAGTAAGGAATGGTTGTCAGTGGCAGCGCTTCACGTCTTCCCTTGGTGCTGAGCGATAAGATAAGGGATGGTGCGCTGGTTCAAGATCTCAGGGGCACTTGTTCTGATGCTATTGCATGTCTTTCAAGGAGTGAGGACTAGAAAAAACAAATCGTCATTTCTGATTCTCGGGGATATGAATGTCTTCGGGCCCTTTTAGCAAAAAAAAAGGAAAAGTCATTGTTGAAACCTAAAGCTCGATCATAGAAACTATTTCCACTCGGCTTCATTTATCACCAAAGGCACACAAATGCTTGTATGACATTGTGATGCGCAACGACGTTCCCCAGTCGCAGTGTAATTAGTAATTACTCGATAGCAGAGGGCATACCAGGATACATAGCTTTGAATATAATCAAACGATTGATGTCGCCAGTTGTGAACTTACGATATCCATGTATTCCATGGTAAGAAGTCGGGAAAGCTAAGATAGGGGTGGTAATAGACGGCGTCTACTGCCAGCCACATGAAGATTGCAGGTGTAGAAAAGGGACAAGTAGGAATGCCATATTTGGCCTATGATTATTCTCAGTCCCTCTGATATAGAGATGACGATGGAATTCACTATTCCGCGGAACAACCTCAACCTGAAGATGGAAACAGAGTTTGGATTTCTTTATAGTCGATGATGCGACGCGATGCTGATGTCGATCTTTGTAGCTTGTTCGTTGGGTGTGGGGGGTCGGGTATAGATGCGTGAGACATTGAAGCGCGCCTGGGTGCAATTATGCTTCCACATTTATCCAATGAACTTGTCATATGTCTATAAATGGATATTGATATGCCCAAAACATGAGATTTGCCATGAATCAGATAATCCTTCATTTATTATTCGAATCGTGATGCCTTTCAATCTTATTTGGGGTGGTCGAGATCGAGGATTTCAGAAACTGAATTTTGGTGGTAGGGTGAACGATTGTGTGGCGAATTTCTGTAAACCCGGATCATCGAGCTTGAAACTATTTGTGACCACAGGAAAGGAGCTCCAAGAGCACCCCATGGATATCTCTGCTGCTACGAAGTCTGATTGTGGGGTTCATACCTTACCGGAATTCAGTTAGAATTGTCGAGCTTTCAAGTCCTGGAAACTCACAAGCCCTGATGGTATCCTAAGGGTTGCCGGCATATTGAGGCTTCATGTTTGTCTCTAGAGCTGTCGAATTGTGCTGAATTGATGCTATGTTTCACAGCAGGTTGCGAGATTATGGGGCTTTAATAGCCAGAAGTCAAATGTTGTGCTGGTGCAGCCAAGCAAACCGTGCAGTTACAAACTATGCAATATCCATTTGCAGTGCATAAAGTATGTTCGACTGCGATGTGGCTTTGGGCATCCGCGCAAAGATGATTCACCGACCCCACGGGAAGTGGCTCTCAAGAATATATGACTAGAATGAGAGTAATCAACGCCATCGGCGAAGGTGGGTCCCCCAAACAAAAAACAATCATGAGGGGCCAAGACCCAGCGACAAGAACCATGGGTGCGACGGGAAAGATCCTGTCCAATGCCTCCAACGGAGAAAGCATACTCGGCCATGCACTTCATAGCAGATGTGACAAGCCCAATTTGTGATAAATGACAAAGCAGACTAGACTCGGAGTTGTGCGTCTTTGGAAGCCACCGAGTCTTTTCCAGGTTGAATACCATGTTCACCTCCTCGCTCTGTTAGACTCACTGCTGGCGTATCCCCCAACGAGCTATGCTAACTTGGGGGCCGAAGCTAGATTGTGCATGGGTGTCTCAAAGAGCACTGCTAAAGAGATATTCAGTTGGGTATCAGTGAAAGAACCAATGATGTATTTAATGGTAGTTGCCCTAGCCCAGTACAATACAGACATGCGGGTTAGGAAAGGGTAAAATACAAGAACAAAGTTGCGATAGTTATCACGGGCCATCAAAGGAGACAGTAGAGGTCAGCGTTATAGGCGTCAAACATCAAGTTGTCCAGGAACTTTGACCGTACGATCTAGAACATGATTCCTATGTAGTGTGGCGATCAGAGAGCCAAGGGGTTTTGCTCTTTCTATAAATTGCGCAATCACTCACACCGTAAATTTAGCACCCATGGAGATGCCAATTGAGATCTTCAAAGATATCTAGCATCCTGGGAGATGGGGGAACTTAGATATGAAATGGGCATTCTTTTGCTGTAATTTCCCTACTTGAGTATCGACTGGGTATAATTGCGGGTATCTAAAAGGTTAGCACATGAAATGTATACATTTCCGAGACATACTTGTTACAGACGCTAAGGTGACCTGTCTCCTGGAGCCTTACATCGATCGAACTTCAAGCAAACCCTTAAAATAGAGTACTCGCTTACTTTCTGGTGATGCATTAGAGTTAGGTACTTGATACTTGGTCTCTGCTTCCTCTACTCTACCGTCACTGAACGATAAATTTTCTTGACAGCAAGCTTTAGTTTGTCAAATAGTTAACACCGATATCAATCATTAGCGTGTGCAACTGAAGCTCTTCTAGCCTTCAGGAGTGACACCGAGTGAGAACCCTCAAAACTAACAAGCCACCCTGACCTGGTTAGGGTTTAGCATCCGTCAAACTTGACCTCCCTCCTTTGAGGAAAGCACGGCACCTACAATGCTTGATGGAATGATGATATCCAGTCTGTTAAAGCAGCATTGGGTGGCAAGAACTGTTTCGTCGGCAATATTTTGCTTTTCTCTGTTCGGGCAACGGCTCCTCTAAAAATGTTAAAACGGAGGATGATTGTGCATTTTCCCAAGTACGCCGGAGGTAAGCGGAAGTCACGATGAGAGTCTTCATGAGGTCCTATGGTGATCGTTTACTTGATAAAGCTGGTGGACTGTTGATCATTACTATATAAAAAGAGTCATGTCTCAGCCCCAGTGTGGCGCAAGTGACCATGATATTGGCAGCACCTAGGTATACCTATTCCAAGGTGATGAACTTTCTAGCTGGCGCAAGCCTCGGTATTATCGATGGATACGGTCGTTACGAGAAGACACACACTTATCATGTGGGTGATGTGATGGGCTATTTTGAGAAACATGAACATGCCGATTACGTATGGGATCAAAGCTGTCATCGTTGATGAATCTCTTGATTTTCGATTATCTACAACCTAGGTATTATACGTTTCGCACAATTTATGTAGTTAGTTTCCATGGAAAAAATGATGGTCGGGGGAGAATACCAGTAGAATTGCATCCCACCCATTGTCCATACACCTGAAAGTCATCCAATGATTGCATCGGAGTTGCGCCATTCGCTTCGGAGACCGGACCCCTTACCGAAAAGTTACTTTTCCAATCATGGTTTTGGACTTCAATCCTTCTTTTTCTTCCCCACAATGACGATTCAAGGGTCCATTTCCTTGGATCAATAACAAAAAGGGCAACTTTTGAATACTCAAGACGAGACATCATCTCCAGTCTCAACCCCCTCCTCTCACATGAGCAGCAACCGAATTGCATGCTTTTGATAATTTGCAGATAGACATCCTCAAGGATGGTTATCTAATAAAGTTCAAAAGGTACAAGTCAGGCGATAATTACTTCTTTTCATTGAAGGGATGATATCAGCCGTTATCTTCATCCTATTCCCGCACACTTTGCATCTACCGATAAACATCCTGATATTTGAAATAGTATCAACTATTAGGTAAGCTCGGGGTAAGCCGTGAAAAAAACTAGATGCTTTGGTCCCGCTACCTACTTGTATAGTCTCTTAACAAGTTGTATGTTGACAGAATTCTAATACGCGGCTGTGGGTAGATGAAGGGGCTTGAGTTTTGACACGCCTAACAAAGTGACGAAGCGGACATAAGTTCAAACTTGTTGAATTTTCACGTTGAAAAGAGACGAGTCTGTAAGTTTAATTGGTCAGAAAGCCAAAAACTCAAATCAAAATCATTTGAAAAAGAATTGCGCGCCATTCACAAACTATTTCATAGTGATATCACGTAGTAATTAGTCGTCCGTCGTCCGTCGTCCCCTCCATCCGTTCAGGGCTTTTGTTGTGATCGCAATGGGTAGACCAAAAGAAAATACGTTCTCTATGAATCTGGTACTTTCAGCCAATCAATCGTTACTACGGCTTTTGAGATCGAGCAGGGCCATGACCTCAAGTGATAACTTCTGTTCAATCGCAGAGTAGTGGAATAATCTGATGTAGCTCACTCGCTCTGCGTTAGTACGTTTCGTGCCTAATGATTCGTTTTCCTCGTACGAACAATGATTTCATTGATTTTATCGATGGCTTTCTACACGTTCTATGCATCAAGCCACAATAAGCTTTACCTACTTTTGTTGGATCTCCATACAGGTATTTCGTACCAGCCCAGAAAGCAGATATGGGGTCCGCACATCATTACTTGAAGATATTCGCGAGAATGGATCGAGACAGGCAAAATTATATTGATATAGTTTGTTGAAAATCGTTTCAAAAGAAAGAAAAACCCCCCCAAATTATCAATAATAATACCCGTAGCGTCTAGAAAGTATACCACAATGCCGGGTAATACTTGTATACCTCACAACCTAACTTTGAAGAATTGTCTATCTATCCAATTACTGAAACCTTCGCAGAAACTCCCGTTTGCAGCAATATCTAATCATTTTATTCGCCACTTCTTCTGCTAGCCGTGTTGACCTTACCAAGCTACGCGCAAGTCTCCATCCTCAAGGGTTCTCCCGTACAGTAGAACGAAGTAGTGGTAGGCGAAGAACTCCTAGGCAAATAAGCCGCGTTCCTTCCCTTTTACAGTTTAGTCAATAATACTCGCTCGAGCCATGGAATTCTACAAATCCCATGAAATTTTTACCATTTTTTAAAGCGGCCTTCGAGCTCAACAATCAATTTCCCATCAAGGGTATCAGGCCAGCTCCACCACAATAAGATGTTCGATTCTCCTTCCTTCTCTGCCCTAGATTTGGCTACCTAGACACTGATCCCATGCTAAAAACATTACTCTACCATGCATGACTACAATCTAGAAAGCTAAAGCCAACATTGTTTTGTCGTTGTAACTTTAGATGGGTTTGTAAACGACGTTGTGGCTTATAAATAATTTTTTTTTCTTCATTCTCATGAGCAGACTTTACCGAATATACTTGGTGTTTTCGGTCTTCGTGCTTTCTAGATTTCCTACCCGATAGTAGTGAGGGTCAATATCTACTTAGTAAACGGGTGATATTTGCCTCCCTACATGTTCCTGACGATCTCTACCCTTTCTTCTGACGCTCAAGTGCCTACATCAAGACGAGACCACCGCCACATATAAACGTTCCGACCCCCTTCATACCCCGCGTGGCCTTCGATTTCCGGCCGATAGACCGTCAACTTGAGATTGGACCTTATCTTTACCAATCTTCAGCGCTGCATCATTCTATATTTTGTTCATTAACTCATTCAACCATTCTTCGATATTCTACAGTTCGACAAAGACGTTTTGATAGGAAAGCAGTCCACCTGTATTCCAACTGTCTGGTATCTTAGCACCGGGATAATTCCACAGCTTCTCTGTATTACATTGCCTGTCCTTGTTGATCGACTGCATCCAAACATTCCGTCATTTTTCTATGCTTTTCCTCGCCCTGGGTTTGGACAGCTGCTTTAACTTCTATCGACCTTTACCGAACGAGCCACGATTAGACCCTTGTTTTTGCCTCCTCCACACAATCTGATCAGCTTCCCATCGTGTAATCTCGAAGTACTGTCACACTCGCTACAAACTTTATATCGGCTTTTACCACCTCGCGTTCGAATTGGCCTCGAACTCAAAGCTTTCTTCTGGACACTGAGTTATACTACATCTTATTGTAATTGAGCTTTCCGCATTGACTCCTCCTTTCACCAAAAAGTCACAATACATTACCCATTTGTTCATTCACTACACTTACATTGCACACTTGCCTCATACTTCATTGGGTGATTGGCACGTGGGATCCTTCTGACTCCCTGCCAATACTGACTTTGCATAGATCGGGGTTATCATCAGAGCAATCAACCACAAATCCATGGGAGACTCCTCAGTTGTCGGGTCCAGATCAAACGATGGCGGATTCCCAGATACTTCACAAGTTCTAAGTCAAGATGCTGCGCAGAATCCAGGCACAGCTTCTCAACAGGATAGCTCAAGGAAAACTTCGAACATACCCTCGCAGTTGACCAGCACTCCACCGAACTATGCCCCGAACTTGGCATATTCTCAACACCCAATGTCGCATGCAACACCGGAATCTTTCAACATGACAACACTTAGTGTTACGCTTCCAGATATGTCTTACCAGAATTATGGCCAACGATTTCCTCAAAGCCCCGGCGCTCCCCTGCCTTTTATGTATCAGACGCAGTTTGCAAATCAAGGCATCTTAAGTCCTCCACCCACCGCTTCGTCATATAGTACCCCGTACCAGGCGCAATACGGAGGTTATACGTCCAAT